CCGCGCTGCTCCAGTCCGGCTCTCCGCGTGCGCTCCGGGCTCCGAGAGCAGCTCCTGCGCAGGTCCCGGCGCTCAGCGGGCAGCAGTACCTGGGGCCCACGGTGAGGCTGTGGTGAAGGGAGGCCGGTTTCTCTCTTTGGTTATCTAGCTGTATGAGTGCCACAGAGCCGTCATAAAGCTAGATAACCGAAAGTAGAAATGACTCTCACAACTTCTGCACGCGAGCGTCCGCCCCGCCGGCCGTCCCGGCCCGCGCAAGCAGCGGCGCCCAGGAGCCGGGAGGCGGCCCAGCGGACTCCGACCGGCCCAGCTCCGCTCAGCGGCCGCGCCCGACCAGGTACCTGACCTCGGCGGTCACTTTCCGCACCCGGAAGGAACTCGCCAGTTTACCCCACCCCATCTCATCTCATCTCACCCCATCCCACCCTAGTCCTCCTTCCCCGCCCCCAGCGCCAAAGCTGGAACCCCAAAGTGGAGCAGGTTAGGAGAAGGGAGGGGGTGGGCTGGAGGGGGGCCGGTGGGGGGGAAGGCGCCAGCCTTCGTCTTCACCCCATAAATCAAACTGGAACAATCCGTGCTCGGAGCTGCGGACGGGGATTTTGGGATGCAAATTCGGTGGGAGAGAGACAGCGGCCTGTGGGGGGTGGGGGCCGGGCAGTGGAAGGGTGGGCAGGGGGTTGCCCCCGCGGCTAACAATGCGGCCTTTATCGAATTATTCGACGAGTTGGCCCCAGAGCGCCATTAGCATACGGCTGGGGGGTTGCCGGAGCTTTGCCCCTCAGTGAGGTCAAGTTCTTGATAATTTGATCACTTTTCACGGGCTCTGGCAGCTGCCTTTGTGTGCGGTTGGGGGGTCTGGGCAGCGTGAAGCGGAGCAGAACTGGCGGAGAGTGCGCTCAATGGCATGGCGAGGGGGCCGGGCGGAGTCCTCCCTCCCTCCCCGACGGGCCGGCCCTGTCCTGCATACAAACCAAGCGCAGGCTGGCGGAGTGGCCAAGCCCAGACTAGCGGCGGATCGCTCCTGCTCGCACCTCCCCAACTTCCCGGAGTGGCTGAGGTGCAGGCTGTCTCTTGGGGCGCCCCTCCTCCCGGACTCCTGAAGTGGAAACATAAGGTGTATTACAATGTCTAGCAAATAAAAAAGGAATTGGGTGGGTGTGGGGGGGTCTGCATTCTGTTTCCATGGCAACTCAGGTTTCAGGTTCCCCTTCTTTTACCCAGGGATTGGGGTGCACAGCTCCTGCCCTCTTTCTGGGGCTTCAGGCCCACACTGCCATGGGATCCCCATTGAGGTCCTCTTTGGCCTCTGCCCCCTGACTCCTGGCCTGTTCTAGAGGCTCAGGACTGCCTCTGGTTAGAAAACCACTTGAGCTCTTGGCATGAAAGGCTGGAGACTCCGCCAGGCCCTTGCCATCCTGGGGACCGCTCTAGGTATGAGAGTGTGTGAACATGCTGATTGATAAGCTGAAAGGGACTTGAGCCATGTCGTAGACCTGACCTTCCCTGTCCCCTTTCCCACTGGCCTAGAGGGTACTCAGCCCCCAACCCTGAAGTGACTCAGCCAGGGTCACACAGCATGGGAACGCCCAGCAGGGCCCCAGGTGACCTGACTCCTGTCTCCACCTACTTCATGCCTTCATTTTGTAGAACCTCTTCTTCCCATATCTATAAAGTCTGGCCTCTCCCAGTCTCTACTCAGTCTTTCCTTCCCCTATTAACAATAGAAATCTTTCCTCGGCTTCATTTTTTTCAAGGCTTTTTTTTTTTTTTTTTTTTTTAACGAAATTATTTTGGAAATAGGTTATGAGTGTACAAGGCAAAATTGCAACTGCACCAAAGGGCAAGAGGGCACTCCATTGGCTCTAAGGAGGTTGGTGGCGGAGGGACACTTTTTAATTTGTGCCCTTTTAAATTGGGAAGCACAATACAACAAAAATAAAAGAAAAATAAATAAACAAAAGAGCAGGTGAAGGCGGTGGGGGTGTCAGCTTCCATCTTAGCTCTAGCTGTCCGTGCAATCTATCCATGCATCATCCGGCGGTGGAAGGTTTTGTGATTCCTGGGAGTGCCATTCCCCCACCTCGCGGTTCTAGACGACAGTCTCAATTTTGTTTTGTTTCTGACTAGGGTGGCTAGCGTGTTGGAGCTGTGGGGGGTCACGGGAAGCATCTCAGGACCGCCATTCGTCCCCTTTACAGCGCACCTGGTCTGGAAAGAAGCCTTTGCGCTGATTGTGACCTCCTTTCAGAGGAAACCGGAGCAGCGACTGCTGTCGGCTATCCTGCGCTTCCTGCTCTGGTTGGGGGCCCTGCCAGGCATCGCATGCAGGCGGTGGGCATGGGGGAGGGGGTGGGGAGCTTCACTCTTGCCCGCCCACCACTAACACCTGGTTGATTTCTTGCAAGGACGACTTGGTAGTCTTTTGGTTGGCTGGTTAATTTTAAACTGCAGAGTCCCAAACTTTCAATAGACACTGACTTGAATCCTGGGGGGTTGGAGGGTCTGGGGAAGAAAGAGGCTGCTCAGGTAAGAATGAACGATTCCTTTCCACTTCACAGAAAATCCCCTTAATGCAAACCTCCCAGATTGGGGGAAGAGATGACTGCGGCGGAGTTGCAGTGTGTGGGGAATGAGCGAATCCTAATCTCCAAGACCCCCACCCCACACCCGCTAGAGATGACCCACTGAGGGAGCAGCCTTGGGGTGTGGTTGCCAAGCCCTGGGCTCAAAATCCACCCCTCTCTCAACCCCCTTCACAGAGTGGTGTTCAATCCTTCCTGGACACTTCCAAGCTCCAGTGCAGGGCCAGAATTGGTACGTCCTTCCATCCACCCGTCTCCTGGCTAGCCCAGGCCTGGAGGAGGCCGTTGGACCTGCATCCTTCTCAGCTCTTTCTTCCGTGCTCCAGAAAGATTTTATTTTCCTTCTTCCAAGCTTCCTCTGGCTACATCTAGAAATATCGAGCTCAGAAAATGACCTGGACTTGCCCTAGAGGGTGCGGTCAACCAGTGGGGGGCAGGAATCGGGCGTCGAAGCGAGACCTTCCTTCTGCAAATCCGCCGCCCACCCTGCCCGCCTGTGTGACTGAGAGGGCGCATGCCGCGATCCCCCAGAGGGAGCGTTGGATCGACCACCAGGCTGCGGCGCGACCCCATCTAGGCTGCGCGGGGAAATCGCCGCCGCCATCATCGCACCTCCTGAGACGTGGGCTCAGAGCGCGGAGGGAGCGCGGTCCGAAGGCGTCTCGCAGGGCCCAGCCGCGACGCTGAAAAGCATGAAGGGTCGGAATTAGGCGCTCATGTAGCGAGCGTTACTAATCCGAAATTACAGCGCTAATTCCCTGATCCAGCCGCTCCCACACGCAGCGCCGGGATTAGAGGTCGGCCCCGCCCCGCCCTCACACCCGCCGGGGCCCGCGCCCTCGCCTAATCCGCTGCGCCGGCACAACTGGCCAGCTGGGTGTGACGGCCCGGAGGAGACCTGGCGGCGGGAGCAGGCTGACCTAGCGGGATTTACGCGCCCTCCGGGGCCCAGTCGAGGCCACACGGTCTAGAAAACCGCAGAGATTTCTCCCTCCGGGCTGTGCGTCCCCACCCGCGGGGCCATTCCAATAGCCTTCTTTCCCCCCTTGACATCTCTAGCTCGAGGCCTGTATGACCCGGTGTCTGTGCCCCCATGCCGCCTGGACTCTGCCCCCTTCTTCCGCCAGCCTCGATAGAATGGCCAATCAGCTCAGGCCTAGGGTGGGATGCGCGTCACCATGGCGACGACCAAGGACCGGGCAGTGACGCCCATCTCTGAAGGGTGAGTCTTCACTCCTGGATGAATGTGAAGGGAGGGAAGGTGGAGGGGTGTTAGGGGCGAGTTCTTGGCACCTCCTCTGCGTTCTACTTGGTCTGTTAAGCTAGCTGGGGGTGGAGAGTGAGGGTGGATGGTCCTTTTTGGGGACCTGGGCTTGTCCTGGAACTGCTCTTTCATGAAGGTGTTCCCCTTCCCATCTTGAGGGCAAATAGGATCCTTACAGACCCTCTCTTCCTCACCTCGCCGTGGCCCAAAGAGTTTCTCCTCTGTTCATCCTCAGGCCGGGGTGGCTTTCTGGAGGCTTGCTCCAAACTGCCTTACTCTTAAGTGCTGTGATCTTGGGCAAATCAAGTCACTTCTCTGCCTTCGTCTTCTCATCCATAAGATGGGTTGGTGTGCAGGCTGGTCCTGGGAAACACCTGAGTGCCCAGTGGATGCTCTATCAATGCCAGAGAGCCCTTCCCTTTGGGGGTAAAGTTCTCTCTGTCTGGGAATGTCCTTTTTGTCCAGAGTAGTCAAATGTGGATGTCCCTGGACTTCTTTGAGCCAGCTTTTCGGCTCCCCTGCAGATAGCTGGGAACTGGAGAGGAGGGAAGAGGTTTTTTGTTTGTTTATTTTTTAAATAGAACCAGGGTGGGAGTCGTGGCTGGAACAAAACCTTGGTCATTGGCTCGGAGAATGGGCCGCTTCACTCTCAGAGCACTGGCTCCTTCCTTCGAGCCCTGGTCCGGCTTAAGCACCACTTTAAGTGGGCATGGCATTCACTGGCTGGCCCCTCAGCGCAATTGAGCTGCAGGGGTTTGAAAAGCGGGCCAGGGCCTCAATGACAGGACCTTGGACCAGGCTAATTGGTTTTGGTTCAAGGGGATACTGGATTTGTGAAAAGCCCCTAACCGCCTTTCCCACGCCAGAGCCAGGCCATGGCTTTAAGGAGAAGGATTCCAGGAGGTTGGGGGCAGGCGAGAAAGGAAAGTGGGAGCCAGGTGCCTCCAGTTGTGGCCCTGCACCAATGGCTAAGGTTTATTTCCCTCTGCTGGGAGGGGGTGATGCTGGGAAGCTTCTTGTGTGCACCTGCAATTAGGGACTGGGGCAGGTCTCTCATATGTGGTTGTGCCAACAAAGGGCCCCTTCCTGTGATCCTGTTGTAGTGGAGAAGTGGAAAGGCCCCTCTTTCCACCACGTCCATCCTCCAGCAGAAGAAACCAGCAATGGCCAAGCTCCACTACTTCTTGCCCCAGGAGCTGGACTAGCCCTGCGTTCTGAAATTCTGAGAGAACCCTGGTTGGTCTCTGTTCCTGAGGTGCATGGCGCAGTTGGTTCCAGAGCAGCCCCTTCTGCCTCTTGAAATGGCCCTCCACCTCCCTGGGTATGGGTGGATAAGGCAGAGACATGAAACAGGAAACCTCACAATATTTTGGAAAAATCAGATGCCAACCATTTCTTTACATTCACAAAGGTTATTATTGCAATCTGGCAACCTCAGAGATCATTTTTATGTAAAATTTGAAGGTACCAAACATTTATATGTGTGCCAAATGATTGTATGCTCATATGTCTAATATATCCATTCTTATTTCTATATGGTCTGTAGTCCAAACCATACACTTATATTAACAGTCAATCATGCCAAGGTGGGGGAAGGGCTCAATAAAAGGCAGCCTGACTTACATGTGGCTGCCACCCCGTTGGCTGAGACCTGTGTTTTGTGGTTCATTGTTTGTTGAAGGGAGCTTTCCTACATGATCCCCAGCTAAACAAGTCCTCTTCCTTAAAAAAAAAAAAAAAGATTCTTATCTTCCCAATTTTTCACCATGTTTACTCACTTGAGGCAAACGTAAGTAGGAGACAGGGACTTTGAGGAGATATAGAACCATGTGGATCACATTTTCATTTTTATTTCAATTTTTAATTGCCCAGAGCCTATTTTCTTCGGGGCTCTACTGATTAGCATATTTGAGATTCCTGTGTAAATATGCCAGTGGCCAGTGTGCATGCCTGGGTCTCCTTATCACACAGTATGTTCGCTGGGTGTTTAAATACCCACATTCCACATCCACACACAATTATGGGCTTTCCAATTTGCCTCTTCTCTGGAATCGGGTTAATTTTCCCCCTGCTAATCCTCAAACCCATTATGTCCCTCTCCCCCACCCCACCCCCACTCAGATTAGAACCCTAACCACAGACCAGTGTCTCATCCCACTTCTCCAGCAGGCAGCTCTCCAGGCGGGGGTGGGGTGGGGGGACAGGGAGTGCTGGAGTGAAGGCTCCTATAGGCAGACTTCATTACTGTTACCAAATATACCCAGGCACATTTACTCGTCTACTATGAAGTATTATCATAAATAATTAAAATTAAACTGCACTTGTCAAAATAAATGAGCAAAGTAGAGTTAGTGATGTCTTTTCCTCGATTTGCTTGCCTTGGGTTTGCTTATTCACAAATTTCAAGAAAGAGAGAGAGAGAGACAGAGAAGGAGGAGGAGGAGCAGAAGCAGGAGGAGGCAAGAAAGAGCCAAAGGACTATCCTGGGCGAGGAGCAGAAGGGATTGGAAAGAAAGGAAAGAGGGAAGTTCTCCATCTTCTCCCCTTAGTTCTCCAGTCATTTGGGCGCATAGGGTGACTGGAATGCAGCCCCAAATGTCAGTTCATAATGAATATTGAGGTGTGGATGTGGAAGGAGGGATTTCTTTGTTTACTGAGGAATGGCCCTGGGAATGGGGGAGAGGATTGCCTTTGGGGATTAAGAAGTGGGCTTTGTTTTTATGAAGGGCCTTACTTCTTTTCTGAAGTTTTCTGCCACTAATTGATTCAATTCAAACCGTCCCCCTCCCCACGGGGCCAGTCAGGGCTGGTGCTTGTAAGCTGGCTGTGCTGTGGCAGCCCCATTTCCCCATCTGCTCTGGCCCCTTGCTCCACTGTGACCCATGAAAAGGGTGTGAACCTTCACATCCTGGAGATCACAGGCTAGGGAGCAATCAACCCGGAGCCAAGACCTTTGTCTAGGAGCGAGATAGACACATGCCTCCACATAGACAAATAGAGCTGTAACTGATATACACATTATGAATCGTGATAGAACTTACACACCCATACGCAGAGGTATCATTTGCATGAAGGAAGAGTTTATAAGTGTGCAGTAACCAACAGCCAAATCCAGACACTCCGCATTCCCTTCCTGCCTCTCTCTTATGGGTCAATTCTTTTCCCCCCCAGTCTCTCGCCATAATTTTCACCTCTTTAGAATTCCATATGGGAGAAAGATAAAGCTTTCTACGCCAGTAAACAATTACAGTCTCAGAAACCCACAGAGCCAGTTCTACCCTACTCTATAGGGTCACTTTGAGTCGGTACCAACTCCTTGGCAGTAAGCAAGCCAGAATCCCATATTAATGGAATGTCTGTTTGAGCTTTTTTTTTTTTTTAAGTCATTTATTTGGAGTCTGGGAGGAGGAGTGTCTCAGAGGCCAGATTAAACATGTGTCGGAGAGATGGTGTGATTACAGGAGACAGGGAGGTGCACTTCCTTCCCAGCTGGGTCCAGGAGTCAGTCCTCTGATTAGCAAGTCTTTTCAGGGCAGCGCTGGTTGGGGCTGGTCTTCAGCCAGGAGAGCTAAGTTCTCACCCGTGCTCTGTTAATGAGCTGGAGACAGGTGAGCCTCACACATTCCAACTTGGCTGCCTTCATCTGCATCCAGGAGCTGTGGTGAGCTATTAATGGAAGGTGACGGCTTTGCGCTAATTAGGACTTCCTTTCAGCTTCCATCTGCACAAGCACGGAAGCCCCTCACTGGTCAGCCTCAACCCCCGTCCCCTGGCAACCTAGGTTTTGTCCACTCCCATGAATTGAGGGGTGCTAGAAGTGGAACCCTGGTGGTTTATTAGTTTCGCAGTTGAGCTGCTAAACACCAGGCCAGCTGTTCAAAACCACCAGCAGCTCCTGGGGAGAAAGACTAGACTTTCTACTCACATAAAGAGTTAGGGTCTCAGAAACCCACAGAGACCATTCTACCCTGTCCTACAGGGTCACTAGGCTTGAGACCTGACTTGCTAGCAGTGAGTCTGGAGTTTGGTTTTATGAGGGGAGCAGCTCGGTTGGCTCTCTGGTCAAGCCCCTGTTCTGTATGTTCTTTATGCCCTCATAGGGCAGCATTTGGGCACCTGACCAGGTAGGCTGGTCTTGGACCTTCAACTTGGGTCAATTTACAAAAAGCCCTCTGCCCTCTAGAGCGTGTGGCTTTCGACTCATATCTCCATTATGCCCCCCACTCTTAGTGCCTCCCTATTCTGGTTGTACTCACCCACCTCAACCTACAGGTGTCATTTCTTGTTGTTGTTTTGGTTGTTATTTTGCAGGCTCACATAGCCTGGGGGTGTAGGCTCTTTTCCTCAAAAGAACCAGAGATTTTGTTTTGTTGGTATTATGTTTTCCATTTTCATTTTTATTTCTTTCACCTCTGACCCAATGGACATATACATGCATTTTAAAGTAGGCTGTCTCATAGAAGTGTTCCTGGGGAGGGCTGGTATTAATGTTGCATTAACATCATTTAAAGAAAAAGCACTTCTCAGCCTGGCGGGTGGGGTGCTAGAGGTTACTGCCTGAGTATCAGTTGGGATGAAAAGTCTTGCAGGGAACCAGAGAAGGGGTGCTTCCTTGAAATACTCCCAACCCCCCCAAGTCTCCATTGGAGTTGCATGTAAAAACAGCCCCTTTTGCTTAAAGGATATGAAGAATGAAGCAGGTCACCCACTTCTCTGACTATGTAGACTTGGGTTGAAAACCAGGAGTGGATTCTTAACTTCGTTAGGCCAGCAGTTCTTCAACCTGTGGGTCGAGACCCCTTTGGGGGTCAAACGACCCTTTCACAGGGGTCACCTGATTCATAACAGTAGCAAAATTACAGTTATGGAGTAGCAACAAAAATAATTTTATGATTGGGGGGGGTCACCACAACATGAGGAACTGTATTAATGGGTTGAGGCATTAGGAAGGTTGAGGACCACTGGGTTTGATAGGCTCTCATCCCTGCCAAGGTTCTCCCAAGGTTATGGGGTATTGAAAATGCCTCTGGCAAGCGCAGAAGGAGCTGGGGACTGGTCCACCAGTGACCGCTTCTGCACTTCGAGTCCTGATTTGAGACACTAGCATGGCAGACTTTGGAGTCTCTTGGCCTGGGTTAAAACAGACTTGAGACTCCAGCAAGGCAGTGGCTGGGAGTGGAGGGGGAGGCCGGTTCCTTCCTTCACCACTTGGTGTGCTCTAGTTAGGTCACATACTTCCCTACTCTTCTGTTTCCCCAGCTGGAAAATGGGGGCCACAGTGCCCTGCTGTGCGAGAATTAAGTACCATACACTAGTAAAGTGCCTGGCATTCAGTGGGCACTAAACAAATGGTAGCTCTTCCTGCCTTACAGTCCAAATCTGCTGCCCCCCTCTACCCCAATTGGGAGACTCTGGGCCTCAAACTGCGCCTTGAGGGAGGAGAGGGAAGCGGGTAAACGGGTGGGAGGGGAAATTCTGAGTTCGCTGGCTGGCAGAAGGTAAGTATTTTGAGACTGGAAGGGACAGTCTCTAAGAAGACTGGCAAGGAGTGGCAAGGAGACGCTGGGCCGGCTGTGGTGACTCTGGTCGGAGATTTATAATGGTTGGAGTTTCTGGGAAATTTCCTGAGGTTTCGCAGGGGGTGGGGGGTGGGGTGGGGGTGGGCATTTCCGAGTTGCTGGTCTTTGGAGAGGCGTGGTGGTCGTGTGGAGCCAACCTTGTCCCTGGTGTGGTATTGGGAACACCCAGATTGGGCACACTGCCTTCCGAGTTTCCAGAAATATAGAGAAATAGGAGAGTCGCCAGGGCAGGTGAGCCGGAACACCAGGGTATTGAGAGGGAGCTCCTAGCTGGCACCCACGTGGGTGGCTGGACACTGGCCGCCACCCCCACCCCCCACCCACTACCGGACACCTTTCCTTCCAGCATCCCAGTGGGCGGGGCCGAGGTTCCCACTGGGCCCAGAAACCTCCACCCCTTGTGGTCATGACCTGGACGATCCTTATCAACCACCACCACCCCCGCCGCGAATCCCGCGGGCTCAGGTCACCCCCGTGGGGCCACAAGGCCAACGAAGCATGGCCCGCCGGAGTCGCGCTAGTGGCGGACCTAGGGGCACCTGAAGTCTCCCTGGTCTCACTCTCCTGTAGGCGCTTCCCTCCTGGGCGCAGCTCCCGCCGTGCTTGGCGTCCTCGTCGCGGGACACTAGCTCATCGTGGACACCGGCTAGGACAGCGCATGGGGCCGCCTACAGCTGGAGGAGAGGTGAGCGGCCAGAGTCCCAAGTGTGGACGCAGGGGCTGGGTGCCTGCATCCCAGCTTTGTCCTGCGGGGTCCCAGAGAGCCGGCCTCCTGCCCGAAGCCTGAAAGATCCCAGGATCATTGGGCTAGAGGGGCCATGTTTTTCCCTGGGTCAGCCCTCTGGCCCCCCAGGCACCCAGGCCAGGTGGGGGTGAGCAATACACCTCTGGCTTTTGTGCGTTGCTAAATAATTTGGCAAGCACACAGTAGACACGAAGTAAACGGCAGCTCTGAGGGTTCTGGGCTCCCCATTGGCGTTCTGAATAACCGACAGTGAGCAGTCGCGGGGCGCCGCCCTGCAGCCTCAGCTCGTAATCTCGTCTAGAATCTGAGCCCAGGCCACAGAAAACGGGGCAACGGGCACAGACCCGGCTGCAGAGGGGCGCACAGAGCGCACCCAGAGAAAGAACCCGTTTTAAATGTTAACACCAGGGCTTGTGCCTCCAGTGTTAGGAACCGAAGTTTTCACAGCCCGGACCAGCTTTGTCCGCTGTGCGCCAGGGGCGCGCGCAATGGGCGCCCTGGGCTCGCGGGCCGCCTCACATCCCTAGTTCCAGGTGTCGGCAGGCACCCAGCGGGGGGCCGGAGGCCATTTTGCAAGGAGTGAGGAGCAGCTGCAAAATGGCTGCGTGGACACGAGGCAGGCAGGTCCGGTGTCGCTGCGCGCCCACCAAGCCTCTCCCAGCTCTCTCCACCGCGCAGGCCACGGAAGCGTAGTCGTGTCTAGTCGGTTCAGCCCCTCCCGGCCTCGCCAGGTGGTCATGGTCACGGTCTTTCTTCATGCTGCCAGCTCGGGCCCGTCCATCACAATTGCAGGCAGCCCAGGCTGCAAAATGCGTCCCGGGCCTCCGCCATAGGCGCCGCGGATTCTGGTTGTGTGCAGGCGGCTGCTGGGGAGCATGTGGGCTCCTTCATTCTTTCCTAAGGAATGTTAGGCACGGGCTAACTCCTGCTTAAAAGCACCAGACCAGGAGTGATCTGGCAGATAGCCACCCGAGGGGATGGCCCTGCTGGCCGGCAGCATGTGCTCCCGAGGGGCAGCTTGTGGTCCATAGGCAAGGCCGGTCGCTGGCCACCAAGCTGCTGGCGCTCCCTTTGGTGTGCGTCCCTTTGGTGTGGCGGTGAGAAGAGTCTGAGGTTCTCCCAGTTCTGTGTGCTGGTAACTAGCGGAGGAGCCTCGTTGAGCTTGCTGACCTAAGGGTCAGCCCATCCACTTCCTTTGCTCCCTTTCTACGCCATGTGCAATCGCCTTTGTTTCAACTGTTCCAGTCGACCTGCCTTATGTCAGATCCCACACGTGTTCACTGGACAGAGTAGCCGAGAAACTCCAGCAATACTAGGATATATCCTGTTAGCGCAGTTTGCCTGGTGGAGGGATAGGTCGTTCCCTCACTGGGACTTTGGCTAGGGCTAGGATGTGGCAGGGTCAGAACTCAGGACTGGCCCCAATACCTGTGTTCTTCCCCACAGGCATCTGTGGTCGCCCCTATCAAAATGCCCCCCACCCCCACACTGCCTTAACTTGCCAAAGAGAGCTCTCAGCCTCCCCCCACCCGACCCCATACTCTTTTTTTTGGGGGGGGGGTATTTCATTTATTTATTTTTAAAAAAATTTATATAACTTTTAAAATTAGGTGCTCATACAACTCTTATCACAATCCATATATACATCAATTATGTAAAGCACATTTGTACATTCATTGCCTTCATTATTCTCCACTTAAGCCCTTGGCATCAGGTCCTCATTTTTTCCCCTCCCTCCTCGCTCATGAACCCTTGATAATTTATAAATTATTATTTTGTCATATCTTGCCCTGTCCGACATCTCCCTTCACCCACTTTTCTGTTGTCCGTCCCCCAGGAAGGAGGTAACATGTAGATCCTTGTAATCAGTTCCCCCTTTCCAACCCACTCTCCCTCTACCCTCCCAGTATCGCCACTCACACCACTGGTCCTGAAGGGATCATCCGCCCTGGATTCTCTGTGTTTCCAGTTCCTATCTGTACCAGTGTACATCCTCTGGTCTAGCCAGAGTTGCAAGGTAGAATTGGGATCATGATAGTCGGGGATGGGGTGGAGAGGGGAGGAAGCATTTAGGAACTAGAGGAAAGTTGTATTTTTCATCGTTGCTACATCGCACCCTGACTGGCTGGTCCCATACTCTTAAAACACCCAAACCAAACTCACTGCCATTGAGTCAATGCTGACCTACAGGACAGGGCAGAACTGCCCTTGTGAGTTTCCGAGACTGTAACTCTTTATGGGAATACAAAGCCTCATCTTTCTCCCACAGGTCTCCTGGTGGCTTTGAACTGCTGACTTTGCAGATCACAGCCCATTGTGTCAGCACCATGCCACCAGGGCTCCTATACTCTCTAACTGAGCTTAAAGATCTTAGCCTAAGACAGATGTCCTGACTGAATCCTGTGGGTGCTCTGAGCTTCCTGGCAGCCAAGAAGAAAGGAAGAAGAAAACAGGATAGTTGATAACCTTGTTCCAAAGAAGAAAGAAAGAAAGTCGGTCAGAATTTCAGAGGGGTGAGCATTTTTCCTGTATGAGACTTGTGGAAATTTTAGAACTAGTGAATATGTAGGTCACCTGCATCCTGTCACAGATGAAGAATTAGACCTGGAGGGTTGAAGTGACTTTCCAGGGTCAAAAAGTAAAGGCATAGCGCCAGGTGACCTGACTCCCCTCATATTCCCCATGCTTTTGTGACCAGGCTTCCATGGATTCTCCACAAGCAGGTAGCTTGGTTGTTGCCCAGAGGTCCCTCCACCCCCATTATAAACTCCTTGAACCCCGATGCCGTCTTGTTCCAGGCCCGTCACTGTGATAAACAAGTGATTTCCTCTTAAAGGTTGGCCCTCCGGATCGGAGGTGGTGACGGGAAAGTGGAGGGCAAGGCACTTTGGTTTTTCTTAATGCTGGGTTCCCGAGCTCATTTGTTCCCCAGGTCCCTTTTGGCAGGTGCACCCTGGGTAGCAGGTTTCCCCTTTGGGTGGTGGTCCAGCTCCCCTAACTGCCCTGTCCCATTGCTGGGTCATCTTTCTCTTGGGGGACTATTGTCAGTGAGACCTGCACATCCTTTTAGGTGGCCTAGAGAGGATTGCTCAATTGCAGGAGTACTAGGTAGACCCATCCTTTTGTCCTCTGGGAATGGCGAGCCAGCCGGTCCTTTCGGTGCCTGCCCAGGGTTAAGGATCAGTCAGAGAATGTAGCTCAGGTGGGCAGTTCCCTAGCTTCCAAGATGTCGGAACGTCTGGCATGAATGCGGGAGGTGCTGAATAAATGTCTTGACCCTGTCACACACTGTACTCTCTGGAAATACCTACCAGAGAGGCCCCATGCTTGTGTGGATGGGTAGGGTGGAGTCTGCTTCTTGGTGAGGGGCCCCTGTATCCAAGGAATTGTAGCCAAATCCCAACTGTCATCTTCGGGCAGAGTCGGCACAGACAAAGCAGGGTGGGAAGCTGAGGCCAGTCTGCAGCTCAGGCTCCAGCTGGGGAAGGAAAACAGGGCTCAGCTCCCCAGATTAGTTACTGTCTTCAAGGATTAAAGGCCCCAAGTAATGGCTGGCCTCTCCCTGCTCGGTGCCAAGGGAAGACATGTAAATACAGCCGCACGCCAGCTTAGGCAGTAAATGTGTATAAATCGAATTTAGCAAATCAGATCATGGTTTAAATGCACTATTTAAAGCAGTCCCGCAATGAAGCCTTTTACAAAGGGAATAACCATTTTGTGATGCTAATCAACAGCTTCCAATTTATCTCCTTTGTAAGTTCAGATGTCGGTGCACTGGGTGTTCTGAAATTGGGGCACTCTTGTGTAGGGCTTGGGTGATGGCTGTCTGCTGGCTCTTTGTGACCCCTTAGTTTAAATGGGAGCACCGGGGGCTTCAGGGGCCTGTTATTTCTCCTGCTCCTCCTCATCTAGCCCACGCATCTTCTTCTAATCCGGTAGAGCCCACCTTTCATGTGCTCCTGGCTCCGTTTCTGAGATCCTCACCCTTTCTGGGAGGAACCACAGAGCCCGCGGCTTCCTGGGCACGAGAACCAACGGACTCCCTCACTGAGTTGAGCCGCCTTTTGTTTTCCTGGGAGCTTGCGGTCCCTCTGCTGCTGCTCAGAAAGAAGAAGACTTTAGGAGGCCCATGAAAGACCGGTGTCCACTTGCTGCACGAGCCGGGGCTGGAGAATCTTCTCCTCATCACAGCCACGTACCTGAGGCCTGGATGTTCAAGTGACTTTTCCCACAAGTTCAGCTCTGGACTCAAAGGAAAACCTGTCTCCCAATTGCTGTGAGTGTTTTATTCTCTGAGCAGGGGTGCCTTTCTCCGCAGAGAAAATATAATCAGAGACCATCTGGGTGGGAGAAACAGATGAGGGGAGCGCTGCAGATCCAGAGAGGAATAAAGGCAGTGGGCAGGAAGCTGGGGGGCTGTGAGGAGCCTGACCTTGCTTAGCTCACAGGGCCCTGATATAGTGTCTTTGTCAATGCTGCCACTATTGATGCGTTCCTCCGTAATTATGACTGTGTGTTGGCATGGCGACTCAGTGCAAGAAGCCTCGAAGCACCGGGTAAATGCACGACTTGTTCTTGCCTTCCAAAGCAGAGCGGCGCTTTGTGGGTCGTTCCCCTGGGGAGACGTGACAGAAAATGCACCAGGCCCAGGCTGGAGCATGGATATTTATAACCCCAGGAGACCAGGTGGCCCTGGTCGGGGGTCCTCCTCTAAACTCATGTGCAGTGCGGGTGGGGTGGGGGGCCTCCCGGAGCCACCTCCCTCTGCCTTTCTGCCTCTCTTTGCTCCCTTGCACGGAAGTGTCCAGGAATGTCTAGCCATTTCGCCTCCTCTCTGCTGTGTTGCTGCCAGTGGGTTTAGGGGATTTGATTTCTCACCGATCAGTCCATTTCCCATGCCGCAAATATTTGTTTGGAGGGCGAAAGGCAAAGCTGATGGGCCAGCTGTAGGGATGGCATTTGGCATGGGAAGTTCCCTCCTGACCTTGGGTGCTCACCTGAAAATTAGGGCAAGGTTCTAGAAAATGCTGGGCTGTCCCACAAGCAGCCACTGGCTGCGCGTGTTGTTGAGCTCATGCAATATCATGGGTTGTGGGACCCGTTGAGATGATCATGTTGGGTTAAATAGCACATATTATTAAAAGGCGTTTCTGCCGCTGCTGCTTTTTTTAGTGTAGCTACTAGATGATCGAAGCTGGCACGCGGTGTTCACGTGCCACCTCTGTTGGGCAGCACTGGTCTAGAAGAGAGGCTTGAGACCTCTTCCAGCCCCGGTGCTCAGGAGCTCATCCCCACCGGGAGCTCAGCGCTGGGGCCATAGACTACTAGACAGGCCCGAGTGGCTGAGGGCTGCGCACCTGGGCCTGGGCAGCTTTCACATGTGCCTAGCCAGGCCCCTCAGTGGGGCCTCTACCTTCATCCATGGAGGCCAACGCCCAGCCAGACTCCATGGACACCAGCATTGTCTGCACTTAGGACCGGGGGAGGACAGCATCTTTGGGTGTGGGTTAGTGACACCCCAGTGGCATGTTAAGGGCACATTTGTAGACAACAGGAGGTATTCTTTCAGGTGTATGTAGAAGCCACCCGCGCAAGTCCTGGCAGTGACGTCATCGTCGTCTCCCAGATGTGCAGAATTCACAGGGCCTGGGATGCCAGCCAGGCCTCCCAGGTTTGTGCCAACCCCACTTGCAGCAGATGCCCTTTGGTCGGAGGGCTGCGCAGTGGGTCCCCTCTCCTGGATGTCCACCTCCCCTCAGCGCCTCCTGCTCTCTGGGTGTGGGCTCTTCTGGGCTGTGCGCTGGCTCAGGGAGAGGTTTCCTGCCCTGGGTCCCTGCCAAGCCTTGAGTCTTTGGAGAGTTTTCTGGATGGTGTTGGGCAGACCCTACCATCCTCAGCTCTTCTCACCTTTGAGGGAAGGACACCTGGCTCTTGCCTTCACCTTGTCTACAGCTCTCTTCACCTCTCTGGAGCTCTGTTTCCTCCCTGGGAAGCCCAGGGGCTGGGCTGGGTGTAAGGGCCTCCCAGCTCCAGGAAGCCTGTGAAAAGATGGTTCCTGGTAAGATGTGGAGCAAGCAGTGGGCAGCCAGGAAATCGGGATGAGTCACAGCACTGGTGACAGGGGCCATGTGTGGGGCTCTGGTGACAGGGGCCATGTATGGGGCTCTTAGGCTGTGTGGACTCTGTGCTAACACTTGTATACTTCATCTCCTTTGTACTCTCATCTCCTGAGGGACAGAATGAGTGGCAGGTGTAACCTAGGGCTTCC